GAAAACGAGGGAGAAATGTATCAATAAGTCATGACTGCAACAGTAAGTGGCAAAAAAGCTAAACAAAAAAGACTTTTATTTTGGCGTAGTGTGTGACGTCATAAGGCTGTGCCGCTCCTGCGCTGGAATTCAACTGGAGAGAGGTTTGTGTTTAAAACTTTTACAGAAATACAAACTGATTGATTAAAGTTTCAGGATATTCATCCAATGCTAAATTTTGAACCTGCTGTTGTCAATATTATTTAACCCTTTATACAACGTAGTACTATTTTACTCACAGTAATGAAGGTCTATTGTTTGAATAAGTTAACAGAAATGTGTGTAATACATATTTTAATGACCTTTTAATTTGCCTGATTTCTTTTTGTTAATTACTCTCATATAAAGAAACTGTTGAAGCAAGTGTTGAAGATAAATTATTTTGTTTCTGTATATTGTTTTATTTATTTTAAACAGGACATTTTTATTGTTTTGTTCATTTTAAACAGAATAAAGTGTCCAAACACAGAGAAAAACTCCTGCTGAAGCGACTGATCTCCACACTGTTATAAAGATGGCGTTTATTAAAGAGGAGAGTGAAGATGTGAAGATTGAAGAAACATTCACAGTCAAACAGGAAGATTTGCAGGAACAAACAGGTTGGTTTTCATTCTCAAAGACCAACTCAGTCATTTGATCCTCTATCAGATATATTTTAATAATAAGAATACTAAATATAATCCATCTTGCAGCCCTGAGTGTGCTGCCTAATTCTCCTTAATGCACATAAGCACTCATTGAAAGACAGGAATGAGTTTCTTTTGTTACTTCTTCTCATGTCTTTTGTCATTATTTTATGTATTATTAGTCTCCCATTTTCTCTACCTTCTTAAGGTTATTGCTTTTCTTGTTCTCCTACTGTTTGTAAAGTGTCCTTAAGCACTGGCACTATATAAAATAAATAAAAACAATAAACAAATAAAAAAGTTTAACTGAGCTGAGGATATTTGACCTACAGTATTCCCATAGAACAGGGGTGTCCAAACTACGGCCCGTGGGCCAATATTAATAGAATCTGGCCCGCTATACAAAAATAAACGTAATTCAATAAATAACCACCGGGTATCGCTATTACATGCCTTAAATTAGTCATTACTTCTTGTTATGAAGTAAAACTAACCAACCAAACTGAAGGAAACATAATTGATAAACACATTTTGGCGAGTCATGGCGCACCAAGAAAAAGGAAAATCAACAGTCAGTGCAAGAAGTTTCAGTCACGTTGGGGCAAAGAATTTTTCTTCACAGAGGTCAGCGGGAAATGTATCTGTTTAATTTGCCAGGAATCAGTTGCAGTAATAAAGGAATATAATATTAAAAGACATTATGAAACAAAGCATCAGGCCTTCAGCTCTTACACTGGTGCCGAATGAGATCAGAAAGTAAAACAATTAGCAGCGCCCTATCAGCTCAACAACAGCAGTTTTTTTTTTGTGCTATTAAAGTGCAAGAAAATTCTACACTGCACTGCAAAAAATGTTTTTTATTTTTTATTTATATTTTTTGTCTTGTTTCAAGTCCAAATATCTAAAAAATCTTAAATAAAGGAGAATTTTCTAATTTGTTTTGAGAAATAATATGCCAATATTAAGTGAGTTTTTCCTTAAAACAAGCTAAAATAATCTGCCAATGGGTTAAGCAAAATAATCTTGTTTTTCTTTTGACATAAGATTATTTTGCTTACCCCATTGGCAGATTAATTTGCTTGTTTTAAGGAAAAAATTGCATATTAGGGAAAATATTAGCATTTTATTTCTCAAAACAAGACAACTTTTTTTTTTTTTTTAGATTTTTTAGATATTTGGACTCAAAACAAGACAACAAAAAATCTAAGTAAGAAAAGCATTTTTTGCAGTGTGGCTAGTTATGAGGTAGTTCAGCTAATCGCACAGCACAGGAAACCCTTCACTGGAGGAGAATTTATAAAGGATGAGTGTTGCAACTGTAATTTGCCCAGAGAAGATTCAAGTTTTTTAAAAACTTAAGTCTTTCTAGAAACACAGTTGGACGACCAAAATAAAATAAATTCTTAATAAAATACATGCACACATCCATCCATCCATCCATATATATATATAAATATATATAAATGTGTATATATATATATATATATATATATATATATATATATATATATATATATATATGCGTGTCTGTGTGATGTATGTAAAATTTGGCCCGGGACAACATTTTTTTTTGCATCTGGCCCTCGGCCCAAAAAGTTTGGACACCCCTGCCATAGAAGATATCTGCTATTACAGTGAGGGTGTTGGCTTAGTACTTTCCATTTGCATATGTCACGTTGATCACAATTCCCCTTTTTTCGATCAACTTTAAGGGTTTAAAGTTGTTTCTAGAAGTTGTTGCTAGTTCTCACAGATAGTATTTGAGTTAGAATTACATCATTGCTATTATAATTTCCAGGACTATTTTAAACAGGGTTTCAGCGGGGTCTTAAAATGTCGTAAATTCCAAAATCTAAATTTCAGGCTTTAAAAAGTCCTAAATTTACTGAAATATTGTGTTGTAGGTCTTAAATCTTTTTAAACAAGTCTTCATTTTCCTTTGTTCATGTTTTGCTACCCAATCTGGCCAAAACCCATACAATCACCAACAATCCATCTCAATAAAACTTTCCACTTTATATTCAAAAAGGTCATTTTAACTCCATTTATCATAATGGTTTAATTATTTACTAATGCACTATGCAATAATTTGAAATCTGCTGAATGAAATGGACACTAAAGTAATTAATTATTATAAAACATTGTATAGTATTCTAAACTATATGATGTTGCTGTGGGACGACATGAGGGGAAAAAAAAATTATAGTGGAACAATAACATTTAGCATTGCACTGACTTCAAGTGGCCAACAAACCAGTCTAAAAATGACCTTTGCTGATTAAGAAATGGATTACAGCATGCTGATGATATGCAAAAAATTGTTAACCCAGGGTCATTCTAACTCTGGGTCATTCTAAGGGTGCTTTCACACCTACACTTTTGTTTCGGAACGTATCTCGTTTGCCCGGTTAGCGCGGTTCGTTTGGCATATGTGAACAGGGCAATTGCGCTCTGTTCCGCGCCAAAGTAATCGATCCGAGATCGCTTGAATGAGGTGGTCTCGGCTCGATTGAAACGAACCCTGGAGCGGTTCAATTGCAGTGAGAAAGCGATCCGATCCGAGCGCAGTTATATCACAGTGTTTTATGGATATGTAATGGGCTTACGGCTATATGAAGAGAGAGTTATGAGTAGAGCGGGAAGTTTCGCGAGTCTCCGGATGCCCGCAAATGAGTGATGATCTCCCGGTAATCTTGCGTCTCCCTCCCGGTCCTCAAATAGGCATCGTCGCGCACCCTTCTCACCTCTCCTCACTGCATATCTCCTCAGACACGTCACGCGTGCGCACCCTGTTAATCACCACCAAACCACCACCTCTCCTGACAGCTTAGCGGGACGCTGCAAAAATAAACCCTGACACTGACCAAGGAGAGATTACTCACACGTGACTTGTTTTAGCTCTTTTGGTCCGTTTAGAAACTTTGCAGTGTGAAAGCGAACCGCTCCAAGAGCAAAGAGCAACAATGTAACATTTGTAATCTCTGTTTTGGGACAACTGAATCGATTCACAGGTGTGAAAGCACCCTAACTCTGGATAAACAGAATCCTGACCACCATATAACAGGAAGAAAAAGAAATTGTCTTTCTCGACTCATTATGGATTTAGTTTCATCGGCTAGACACCGGCCTCACAGCTCCGTGAATGTCAGTACTGTCACTTATTGATCTGCGATCGGTAAATGTAGCTTGTGTGAACGCTACTTGACTAAAATAATAGCTTTGCTACACAAAAGCTATTTAATTTAAAAAGTAGTGACACTACCACCACACTACTGAGAAATGTAGATAAGCTAGTAGCGTCACTACTTGCAGCGACGCTACTGCCCAACACTGTGTGGTGGCAATGCTTCTAATGTAGAAATATCTTCATTACTGATAGCCAAAGCTGTCTCAGTAACCAAAAGAGGTCTCCAGTGTACAGAACTGCACAATAGGTGATTGGTGCTGATGAGCAGTACTTCACACGGTGTGTTTGGCACCCCTCATATAGTAATCCAGGGCTGTAACACCCATCTGTACCTCGGGTACTCTGATTAGGTTTTGCATATAAATACTTGGGCTTGACACATTTGTTTCAGACTGTTATTTGCCTATTACATTCTAAATGATGTAAATTCTAGAACATAATTTTTTAACTGTACCTTTAGAACCTTATAACAGCAATAAAAGCAGCATCGAAGCAGTCTCCTTTTAGTCATTCCACCTCTTCATGGAGACTGTCAGACTGATCTGGTGTATTAAAAAACTATTGTGGGTTCTGGAACTGAACAATAATAGTGTTCCTGATGCTGGACATTCACTGGGACTAGATCCTCATCAATTTAAGAGTAAATCTCCCTTCTTTGCCATCCTCGGATGCGTTTAGGTTTCGCCGCAAAATTAAATTTTTGCTGTAGAACGCGCAATGCGGACATAAAGAACCTGACTGATATTCTACCAGAACCATGTCAGCAGAGTTCATGCATATCCATAAACTATAACTTCTATGTTAAGCGACTTTGAAACAATTTACATTGTAAAAGCACTAAATAAATAAAGATTAATTAAATTAATTAAATTAATGGACCAAACACAATATGATTTTATTTATTTTACATTTACTGTGCATCAAAATTACAGTGTGTGTAGCCAATGTTTCCAGTGTCTTTTCACTTTTCAGCTTTTGATGAGAGTTTTTAAGACTTGATAATAACTAGTGTTTTTTTTTCAGACCTAATTGAAGAGAATGAGGAGAGTAAAGAGGAGGAACATCATGTCAAAATTGAGGAAAAAACTAATTTACAGACTGATGGTATTTTGAAAAGGAGAGACAAGAACCGTTTCACCTGCACTCAGTGTGGAAAGAGTTTTGGAAGAAAACACAATCTTAAGATTCACATGAGGATCCACACTGGAGAGAAACCATTCAAATGCACTCAATGTGAGAAAAGTTTTAACCGCTCATCAGACCTTCATCAACATATGAGGATTCACACTGGAGAGAAACCATTCACATGCACTCAGTGTGGGAAGAGTTTCAGCCAATCATCACACCTTAATCAACACATGATGATCCTCACTGGAGAGAAACCATTCATGTCTAATCATCTTGTTTAATCCCACCCCTTTTCGCAGTGGCGTACAACAGAATTTTGCATACTCAATAGTGATGGGAAGTTCGGATCATTTTACTGACTCAAATCTTTGAGTCTCGTTCATCGAGATGAACAAATGTTTTTTCGAGTCATTTTGTTCATTCGGTTCAATTTGCCCAAATTTTATTAAAATGTTACGAATTGCTTCCAAACACATCTACAACTAGCCCAGACGGTTCATCACACGACAAATAAGTCATAAATAAATTATAAGAAGAAGAAAATAATACTTAAATGTTTACCTGCTCTTTTGTCTATGGGTATTGTTGTCTCCTTGCTCAGCTCAACTCTTCATGTCTTCAAATGTCAGTGGTGCGTTCAGGTTACACTGACAGTCACATATAATCTTAACCAATGTCCCCAGTCTGAGCCAATAGGAGCCATGATAATTAGTTCACCTTTCGAGTCTTCTGGTTGTTGAGTCGTTCGTTCATCACGTGACAGAATAACTCAAACCCGAGGACTCGAGAGTTGAATAGATCAATTCTTTTTTTTTTTTGGCTCTAAACGCATATGATTGGCCCGTGATGAACGAATGATTCAAACCCGAGGACTCGAGAGGTGAACAGATCAATTCTTTTTCTGGCTCTAAATGCATATGATTGGCATATAAATGCATATGTTAGGCTGTAGTCTTTCATGTGGTGAACGAACGACTCGATAGAGGACTCGAAAAATGAACTGATCTTGTCTCGCACTACACATCGTGCACATGAGCGAATTAATGAATCTTTTAGTTCATCCGAGTCATTCATTCATTTTGTCACATAACATGAAAGAAAGCATAAGAAATGAGTTATTTAATAAATCAAATAGTCTTTGTGAATAGTTTTGTAACATATGATGCTGCCAGCATTAGACACTTAAACACTGTTTAATTGTTGATTATTGTTTTATTATTATTATTTTACCAGAAAAGTTTTTATAACAAATCAGATTACTTTATAAATCACGACAATAACATAAGCAAAAGAAAAACAAAATAGTGCACATCAAGCTAGGCTTTTTAATAAATAAACACAAGCAAGCTTTAAAATAAATAACACGTTTGTGCCATAAAAGCTTTATATCAAATATGGCAACTCTTCCCAGTAGATGTTTTTATGAAACAGCAATTTAAGTGAAAGATATTATAAATAAAAACAAAAGCCACAGAGCCTATTGAGCTTAACAACTTGACTTGAGAATAGAACAGTGCATTTTTAAAAAAAATAAAAATTAAATAAGCTTTAAAACAACACTGTGTGGTTTTACTTGTTGGACTTGGCTTAAGGTTTGTGAGCATTCAAAAACACAAGCTCTGAACTTTTGGTAGGCTGAGTCTGTTTCTTCTTTTGTCATTAGTTGTCGCAGGATAAAATATGCTAAATGAGTAAATGCAAATGCAAACTTTCTTTATACAAATATTAGACCAATACATAAAGTCTGCATAGAAAAACATTATTAAACAAAAAATGGGTTATTAATGAACAAATTACAAATCACTTGTAATTTTAGAATTTAATTAATTCATCTCCTAGCTTAGTGTTTGTTTTCTGATAGCAAGCCAGCAAATAGACAAATCAATATATATATATATATGCTAGATATAAACCACATATCCAGTAGGAAAAAAGTAACAATAACTTAGTGACAATAGGACAGACCTTTTTTAGTTTTTACAAAATGCTTTTTAGGTACACATTGTTTGATGATTTTATGAGAAGTTTAAAATATGATCATATGATGCAACAAAATTCAGTTTTACATAAATATTATTGACTGAGGTTCTCGTTGCAGTGTACAGTGGAACTACAGTTTAAGATTAGATATGCACATAATAATGTAAGGATGGCCATATCTCTCCATAATATTAAAATCTACAAACTGTTATGGAACTCCACACGAGACAAGAGCATGAGAATGGTCAGTCACTAAAACAATAAACTTTCCAATCTGAGAAGAAGATCAGCTAGAAAACCAGTTGTTCAGGTTGTCTCGATCATGCATCCTGAGCCCCCCTCTTTGTCCTGGACTTTACCTTCTCCACCAGAGCAGCTCACTCACATTCCACACAGAATGTTTAAGTTCTTAATATGGTGTATCTTGTGGCTTTATATTCATGTTTGGTGTGATTTTAAATGTCTCTGTGTGATTGGTAAAGTGGTCTTAATTTCACTGTAATATTTTACAATCTCCCTTATTTCAGTTAATTTGGGTTTTGACTTTAAAAAGATCTTTGCCAGATGCTCCACTCCAGGCAAAATGGTCTTCGCATCAACTCATGACCAGGCAAGAGTCTTGGTGAAGCTTTTATTGTCTTGAATTTATAATGATTTGAGTATTTAGGCAAAGGGTGCAGAATTGTCCGTGTGATCCTGTAGACAGGATACCCCATTGCAGGTTGTGAGTCTCTGAGCTCTGCATCAGGACTTATATGCTGCAATGTATTTCTACATGTTCAGGTATTCCTCTTTAACTCTTCAATGTATCTTTGAGTAATTGATGTTGTACAATCTTGATTGGCTTATTTTGTTTAATTATGTGAACTGCAATGGAAAATCTTTTCCTGACAAATAAATGTCAAATTCTTGTTTAACTCTAATATCCCCTGAAATCATTTAAATCTAGTAGATTGTTGAGGCTGATGTTTCCGCAGCCTACGACCAGGATTAGTCATCCATTCAGGCGCAATGGATGGAGCATGGGCACAGCATTAGAGACCTGTTGATTTCTGACAATCACTGATGATATAATCCAGGGGTATGATATAATCTAGGGGCTAAATCAAACTTTCTTTAAGTATGTGCAAGCATGGGGCGGCCTATTATTACTTAAAGGAAATTAGCATATCTGCTAAGAATCGGAACTGGCGAAGATGTGTCCGTGAGCAGATGAAACTGGCCAGCATACTGACTCTAAGCGACTTTGAGTAAACGATGAAACATTAATTGAATATAATCATTTATTAGGTTAATCAATCTAAATTAGACCTAATCACATCCTATAAGGTAATCAGCTTGAATTAGATGAATCTAAATCTAAAATTATTATAAATTGGAGTCAGATTAAAATTCAGAGCTAGAAACAAATTAAAATAAATTATAACGAACAAAAATATTTCTTTTCACATGTGCTTAAAGGTTTACACGCATTTGACCTTCACCCATGCTGTTAGCTCTGTCATGGGACTAATAGATGGACTCTTACATGTGTGTGTATTTATATAGTTTATAACCATAACAGTTCTACAGTTTCTTCTATTTCACTTGTTGATTTCTATTTTATTGCATATTTTATTTCAATAGTGTATTTATTTTGTTAAAGAGCCCATATTATGGGTTTTTGAAAATGCCCTTCCATGTAGTGTTTAACAGCTCTAAGTGAAGTGAAATGCAGCTAAGGCTTATATCTGTAAGTGTACAGTGTTTAAAACTGTTGATTCATCTATAAAAGAGTCGACTCATAGTGCTTCAAATGAGTCGTCTTGATAACGAGTCATTAGGTGTTTCGTGATGTTGTATCTACGAAACACAAGTAGTTGCGTGCGCAAACCCGGGAGATTTGAAACCTGCGGCCTCGCCCACTAACACAGAAAAAAAGCCACACACACACACACGCGCGTGCCGGTCGAATGTGATGTCACACTGTGCAGATGGATATTATTGAGTCTCTACCCAAAGATGAAACCTCAGCATTAGCCCAGCCTTGAGCAGTTTAAGTGTTTCTGGAAACTTCATGCTTTAGACTGGGAGTATATTACATGCTTAATAATCCATTTTTAGACTGTGTGTGTGTGTGTGTAGGCCTATTATTATTTAAAATAAATTTTAAAAATAAAAATGATTATATTATGTAAAAAAATATTATTCTTTATAATTATATCCAGTTCCCCTAAAACTTTGCTTAAATACCATATACATTTATTAAATAAATAAAACCAAAAAGTAAATAACTGTTTGGTCTGACAAGTTTTCAGGACATATCAAATTTCAGCACAACACTAACTAACTAGTCTCACTCACACACACACACACACACACACACACACACACACACACACACACACAAACTCACTCTCACGCACACAAACACACACGCAAGCACACAGACACACACGCGCGCGCGAGCTCACACGCGCGCACGCACGCACGCACACACACACACACAAACTCACTCTCACGCACACAAACACACACGCAAGCACACAGACACACACGCGCGCGCGAGCTCACACGCGCGCACGCACGCACGCACACACACACACAAACTCACTCTCACGCACACAAACACACACGCAAGCACACACACACACACAAACTCACTCTCACGCACACAAACACACACGCAATCACACACACACAGACACACACGCACACTCTCTCTCACACGCGCACACACACACTCTCACACACCCACACTCATGCACGCACACATGCACACACTCACACACACACGAGGATTACAGCAGGACCACGCAAATGTAGGACTACACACACACACACACACACACACACACACACACACACATACACGTGCACACGCACACACACACTCACACACGCTGTCACACACACGCGCACAAGTTCTTTCTCACACACACGTATGCGCACACACACACACACTCATACATACACACGCACGCACATGCACACACACACACACTGTCCCTCACACACATAAACGCACACACACATACACAAACTCACATGCACACACTCTCTCTCTTTCTTACACACACACAGACACTCTCTCACACGCACACACACACACATGCACACTCTCTCTGTCTTTCTCACACACACACACACGCCCACAAGTTCTCTCTCACGCACACACTCTCCCTTGGACACACACACTTGCACACACACACACACACACACACACACACACTCTCACACATACATACATACATACACACACACACACACACACATGCATACACTCACACACATGCATACACA